TGTTATTAAACATGATTTAAATTGCTTCCGCACTATTGTTAAATACTCCGTATTTTGCTACAGTTATGTATTAAATAATATTTATGCTAAATAAAAGTATTTGAAATGTTTTAAATTTTACGATTACCAAGTTAATACTTTAGTCCGAAAGGGGCTGCAGACCTGGACGGATTAGGGTGTTACAATTTGGTATCAGAGCAAATGGTTTTAAAACCGATCTTCGGATCAAAAGTTTGTTTAAAAAAAATGATGTCAGTCAAATCCACGACTCTCGCATCCCTCTGCTCCAGGAAGGTAATAAAAAAAATTAAGTATTGAATTTGACTGTATTAAACCTTTATAGATGTCAACTGTTAATTCGGAAATGATATCAAGTGTTGATTCAAGTTGCACTTTCGTATTTGGTAAAAGACGAAAGAACAAATGAAATGTCTATGACTCGTTTATACGTTACCAACGTGCACATCGCTTCGCAAGAATAATGAAACGAAGGATTTATTTGCGCCGCAAGGCTGCATGGGAACGAGACGACCCGGAAGAGACGTTCAGCATAGACTCTGCCAACAGCGTATGTGGATCGGGCATAGAAGAACCATCTGTAGATTCGTCACGATCCAACCAATCGAACGCAAACGTTTAGAAATTTATCTTGTTGTTCATTTTAAATCCATCAGTTGTATCGACTGTTGTAATCCTTTGCAATTCCTGTCTTAAACTCAACTACTGAATAAAGAATCCTAATAAAGGAATTTCTATTATTGTAGAATGAGTCAAGAGTCTGCCCACGGACAAGGCAAAAACAATGAGCACGTTAGTGTTCACACTGAAGCATCTAGTTTCACCCCTCCCGTCCAAAATGAACCTGTCAATCAACAAAATGTTGGGAATAACCCAAACGCTGGTGGTCAACCCGACCTTGTGATCCCAACTTTTCTGGCTAATGTGTTACAACAAATAGCCAACGCGCCAATGTTTCAACCACCTCCACCACCGCCACCTCGAGTAATAACCTACAAAACTCTAAGGGATAACGGTGCAGAATTATTCCTTGGGGATCGCATCGGTGAACCCCAAATTGCG